TGAGTCTATGGGTCTCTGTGTGAGTCTGTGGGTCTCTGTGTGAGTCTATGGGCCTCTGTGTGAGCCTATGGGTCTCTGTGTGAGTCTATGGGTCTCTGTGTGAGTCTGTGGGTCTCTGTGTGAGTCTGTGGGTCTCTGTGTGAGTCTCTGTGTGAGTCTATGGGTCTCTGTGTGAGTCTGTGGGTCTCTGTGTGAGCCTGTGGGTCTCTGTGTGAGTCTGTGGGTCACTGTGTGAGTCTGTGGGTCTCTGTGTGAGTCTATGGGTCTCTGTGTGAGTCTGTGGGTCTATGTGTGAGTCTGTGGGTCTGTGTGAGTCTATGGGTCTCTGTGTGAGTCTGTGGGTCTCTGTGTGAGTCTGTGGGTCTCTGTGTGAGTCTATGGGTCTCTGTGTAAGTATGTGGGTCTCTGTGTGTGTCTACGGGTCTCTGTGTGAGTTTGTGGGTCTCTGTGTGAGTCTATGGGTCTCTGTGTGAGTCTATGGGTCTCTGTGCGAGTCCATGGGTCTCTGTGTGAGTCTATGTGTCTCTGTGTGAGTCTGTGGGTCTCTGTGTGAGTCTATGGGTCTCTGTGTGAGTCTGTGGGTCTCTGTGTGAGTCTATGGGTCTCTGTGTGAGTCCATGGGTCTCTGTGTGAGTCTATGGGTCTCTGTGTGAGTCTGTGGGTCTCTGTGTGAGTCCATGGGTCTCTGTGTGAGTCTATGGGTCTCTGTGTGAGTCTGTGGGTCTCTGTGTGAGTCTGTGGGTCTCTGTGTGAGTCTATGGGTCTCTGTGTGAGTCTATGGGTCTCTGTGTGAGTCTATGGGTCTCTGTGTGAGTCTATGGGTCTCTGTGTGAGTCTGTGGGTCTCTGTGTAAGTCTATGGGTCTCTGTGTGAGTCTATGGGTCTCTGTGTGAGTCTATGTGTCTCTGTGTGAGTCTATAGGTCTCTGTGTGAGTGTATGGGTCTGTGTGAGTCTACGGGGCTCTGTGTGAGTCTGTGGGTCTCTGTGTGAGTCTACGGGTCTGTGTGAGTCTATGGGGCTCTGTGTGAGTCTGTGGGTCTCTGTGTGAGTATGTGGGTCTCTGTGTGTGTCTATGGGTCTCTGTGTGAGTCTATGGGTCTCTGTGTGTGTCTGTGGGTCTCTACGTGAGTCTATGGGTCTCTGTGTGAGTATGTGGGTCTCTGTGTGTGTCTATGGGTCTCTGTGTGAGTATGTGGGTCTCTGTGTGAGTCTATGGGTCTCTACGTGAGTCTATGGGTCTCTGTGTGAGTCTATGGGTCTCTGTGTGTGTCTACGGGTCTCTGTGTGAGTCTATGGGTCTCTGTGTGAGTCTGTGGGTCTCTGTGTGAGTCTGTGAGTCTATGGGTCTCTGTGTGAGTCTGTGAGTCTATGGGTAATGGTGCACAAGCACAATTAACAACAACAACTCAACAAAATCGGCGACAATTACACTGCCGCGTGTGTTGACGTTGTCAGGCGATGGCTCTGTTCTTCACGCTATCAGCGTCACGCCGGAGCTCGGACAACGCAGGGGATCACGAAGACCGGGCAGGCGTGACGTCGCACACTTGCGTGCCGGCACGGAGACGCGGTCAATTACCGCACCGCGTGAACGACGCGCGGAAATCCACGAAGGGCTGCGGAAAATGTGCTTAAAATTCGGAAATCCCAGGTGTTGAAATCCTAAACCTCATCCCAAAGACAAAGATCCCCCCGTGTCGCCTGTATAGTCTGTTGGAGCAAGTGCTGTTAGCGAGTAGTAGCACCTAGGAAGGCCGGCACGGCACACGAGGGGGTGGGTGGCCAGCACCACGCCCGGCCGCCTTTGTCTCCCCCAGTGGCGACGTTTACGCACGGCACCAGGAACTCATTTTAGGCCGAGTCGACCTAGGGGAGGCCCGGGACCGGTTCAGATATTCGTCACCGATATTGTCGGTGAGCGGGAATCGAACTCGGGTCGCTGGGTTCGTAGCGCAGCGTAGCGCTGACCGCTGCTACACTACCGCTCCCCCACTAAACCCATCCCTACCGCGCACACACACGCACACACACATATGAAGATGTACCCACGATCACAAGTTTCCCCGCCACGCCCTCCCTGATGGGATTCATTAATAAAAGGCTCGATGCGTTGGATCGCTGCCACCAGCGCAAATTGTTCCCTGTGGACCCGTACGGAATTACGGCCGTAGGTGCCGCAGTAAGGTTGGCACGATGTCAATTGTATCGCCGAGACAATATCGAAAGTCACGATGTTGGCGAATTTCTATCGCTGCGTCCGATGCTCCCCTGACTTTGTGACTTTTTTTGTGAGATCGGTTTTTTAAATCCTTTATATTAAGTTCGCTTGCTTGCTTGCGTGCTTACGACCGTGCAAATCTTTTGGTAGTTTTTTAACCCACTTCCCGTGATCCAATCGAGCTGACATTTTGCAGACAGACTCGTTGTGCGTGACAATTAATTGTCGTGAAAATTTTTTTCCTAAATTTTACACTGTTTAGGGAAAAAAAATGTTATATTTAATTACCAATTGCTTAATGCTGGCAGACAATCATCTGACCCATAGGTGGCAGCCATCTCAAGCCAGAGGACGAGAGGACTCTAGCCGCAACGCATATAAAGGATTTAGAGTGAAAAACTTTGTTTTTACGGGTTCATTTTTATTGCTGCTGCTGCCGTTTCTGCTTTGCAGTAACTTCCAGTGGCAATCCTCCAGCACCCGACACGGCCAATCAGTAAAAAAGTGTCACGTTGACAAAAGACAAAATAGTTCACTGCTTTAGCCCACCGGTGTGTTGAAGCGTGAAACCACAACATTTACAATTTGAGTACGACGTTTCGCCGGTAATTGTATCCAGCATCATCGGGCAATTCGCTAAACCCAAAAACGTTGATTATGAATAATATTGGTCGCGAAAGCCTACGTGTTAAACGTCCAGTGGCAAATTTTAAAAAATTGCAGATTTGGCGAAAATCTCTCCAACTTTAACTCGCTCGACACACTCCTGCCGTGGCGTGTTTTAATCGATAGAATAGCATCATCATCATCATTCCGCTTGTTCACCCACGGAAATCCTCGCCGAGTCTAATGACTCGTACGTGCCACCGTGATGATGATGAGAGAGAAACAAGCAAACTCCAAATATACAGCAGCAGGCGTCACAGGATCAAGATCGAACCCACGACCTCCTACATACCAGGCGAGGTAGTTAACATCTCCTAGCCACCGTGATGATGATGAGAGACGCAATCTGCAAATATACAGCAGCAGGCGTGATGGGTCGGGATAGAACCCACGACCTCCTGCATACCAGGCGAGGTAGTTAACATCTCACCACTCTGAGAAAGAGACACGCAAACTCGAAATATACAGCAGCAGCAGGCGTCAGGGTCGGGATCGAACCCACGATCTCCTGTGTACCAGGCGAGGTAGTTAACATCTCCTAGACACCGTGGAGCCCCAAACGACGCGCAACACCCGAATCCACACGCGGCGAGGGGGACATCGCGGCGAGGGTCCGCCGCTCCGCTACTCCCGTCGCGTTTCATCCGGGCTCGATCGGCCGTCACGACGCACACACCGCAGCATTCACCGGGGCGGCCGCGGCATCCGCACCGCGGACCTCCGTGACGCGTCAACGCCCGGTGCCACGTCTCCTCCTCTCCCGCCCCCCCGCCCAGAACCGACAAACTCCCACGACGACCTCGTTATTTTTTTCGTTTGTTATATTTCACATTTTTTTCCGCTTCGCAACGGCGAATCACCTCCGTCCAGCAGTCTCCAGGGGACCGGGGCAGAGCTTGAAACGATGATACCCAGGGGGAAATGCGATTCTGCTCTGCCGTGAAGCGCGTGCACATCACGTGGTCCCCGCTTGTGCTGCCCCGGTTCTCTTTCTCGGTCTCACGTGCTCACGCGCGCGCACGCCCTCTCCCCGGTGATGTATCCCTCTCTTTGAAGCGCTACCCCCCCCTCCCCCCAACTTCCACCTCCACCCACCCGCTCCTCCGTACGTATCTCACGATGTATCTGTCTCTCCCGCCCTACATACATCTCCCCCCCCCCCCTGACACGTGTCGTCTCCCTCGCTTCTCTCACTGCGCACATCGCCCCGCCCGCCCGCTCCCTGCTGCCCTCCCTCCCCTGCTCCCTCCCTCCCTCACCCCCTTCCTCCTTCCCCCCACCCTTCCCTCCCTTGTCCCCTCACCCCCTCACCCCCTCTCCCTCGCTCTCCCTCACCCCCTCTCTCACCACCTCACCCTCTCTCTCCCTCTCCCTCCCTCACCCCCTCACCCCCTCACCCTCTCCCTCCCTCACCCCCTCACCCTCTTACTCCCTCTCAGTAGTTTTTTTCCCAAGCGGCCTCTTTCCCTTCCCGCAAAAACGAGATTTGAGCTCTCCAAGAAGGAAGCCGCCCCCCGTCCGTCCGTCCGGACGACCTCGCGGCGTGGACATGGCCCGCCGGAGCCCTTCACGTTCCGCGTCGGCGACTCCACCCCCCCCTCTCACCCCCCCCACCTCCCCCCCTCACCACTCCCCCCCCTCTCACCACTCGCCCCTCCCACCTCCTCCCCCCCCCCCTCACCACTCCCCCCCCCCTCTCACCCCCCCTCTCACCACTCGCCCCTCCCACCTCCTCCCCCCCCACTCACCACTCCCCCCCCCTCTCACCCCCCCTCTCACCACCTCCCTCCCCTCCCCCCCCACCTCCCCCCCCACCTTCCCCCCCCCCTCACCACTCCCCCCCCCCTCTCACCACCTCACCCCCCCTCTCACCACTCCCCCCCCGCCACCCTCCCCCCCCACCTTCCCCCCCTCTCACCACCCCCCCACCTCCCCCCCCCCACCTCCCCCCCACCTCCCCCCCCTCTCACCACTCCCCCCCGCCACCTCCCCCCCCACCTCCCCCCCCCTCTCACACCCCTCTCACCACCTCCCCCCCCCACCTCCCCCCCCACTCACCACCCCCCCACCTCCCCCCCCACTCACCACCCCCCCACCTCCCCCCCCTCCACTCACCCACATCGGTGTCCTTGTGGCTCCTCACCAACTCGGCGAGGTCAAAGTTCCCAGCCACGATCGCCACCTGGGAGACCACGCGCACAACGAGACGGCAGAGACACTTACACACCAGGCGCGCCTACGGAGACCCCCCGTGTAGCCTGTAACAGACTTCTAGATTCGAAGCTTTCGTGACTGCAAGGATTCATATTCTTAGGTTTTTTCGGTAAAGTCACGTAGGTAAAAAAATTTAAATTAATAAAAGTTAAATGAAAATAAAATAAAAATCACGACGTTTCGGAGGCAACACAAGCTTCCGTCTTCAGGTGGAACCGTCACAGCACGATAGCTGTATCAAGTGAGAGAAATTCCAAGAACACAGTATTTGTATATATACTGGTTGAGGGTGGGAGGAGCCAAGGTAGGCCCTGGATATTATTTTGTGAGGTTCGGTGCGGCTGAAGCACGCTGTTAGGAATGAGCCTTTGTTGTGTAAACTAGACTGTTGGGGTGAGCGCTGTTAGCGAGTGGCAGCGCCTATGAAGGCCGGCACGGCGCACGAGGGGGTGGGGTGGCTAACACCACGCCCGGCCGCCTTTGTCTCCCCGGTGCCGATGTTTGCCACCGCAGCCAGGTACACATTGAAGGCGTTCATTCGACAATGTTTGCTCATGTTCACTCGCGACTCCAGAGGTAACATCTAATCGTGGTGATAAAATATTTATTTTTCCGTATTTAACGTAGAAATCTTTAACTGCGTGCTCCGAGTTGCCGTTTGCGTTGAAGTCGTGATTACTTTACCATTATCACTCTTGTTTTAAGCATTACATATACCATGCTTATTTACCCAGAAAGGTCTCACCGAGTCTCTTGGCTGACTGGGTCCTCATTTCAGGCTGAGTCGACCTAGGGGAGTCCCTCACTGGGTCCTCATTTCAGGCTGAGTCGACCTAGGGGAGTACCTCACTGGGTCCTCATTTCAGGCTGATTCGACCTAGGGGAGTACCTCACTGGGTCCTCGTTTCAGGTTGAGTCGACCTAGGGGAGTCCCTCACTGGGTCCTCATTTCAGGCTGAGTCGACCTAGGGGAGTCCCTCACTGGGTCCTCGTTTCAGGCTGAGTTGACCTAGGGGAGTCTCTCACTGGGTCCTCATTTCAGGCTGATTCGACCTAGGGGAGTACCTCACTGGGTCCTCATTTCAGGTTGAGTCGACCTAGGGGAGTCCCTCACTGGGTCCTCATTTCAGGCTGATTCGACCTAGGGGAGTACCTCACTGGGTCCTCGTTTCAGGTTGAGTCGACCTAGGGGAGTCCCTCACTGGGTCCTCATTTCAGGCTGAGTCGACCTAGGGGAGTCCCTCACTGGGTCCTCGTTTCAGGCTGAGTTGACCTAGGGGAGTCTCTCACTGGGTCCTCATTTCAGGCTGAGTCTACCTAGGGGAGTCCCTCACTGGGTCCTCATTTCAGGTTGAGTCGACCTAGGGGAGTCCCTCACTGGGTCCTCATTTCAGGCTGAGTCGACCTAGGGGAGTACCTCACTGGGTCCTCGTTTCAGGCTGATTCGACCTAGGGGAGTACCTCACTGGGTCCTCGTTTCAGGTTGAGTCGACCTAGGGGAGTCCCTCACTGGGTCCTCATTTCAGGTTGAGTCGACCTAGGGGAGTCCCTCACTGGGTCCTCATTTCAGGTTGAGTCGACCTAGGGGAGTCCCTCACTGGGTCCTCATTTCAGGCTGAGTCGACCTAGGGGAGTACCTCACTGGGTCCTCATTTCAGGCTGAGTCGACCTAGGGGAGTACCTCACTGGGTCCTCGTTTCAGGCTGATTCGACCTAGGGGAGTACCTCACTGGGTCCTCATTTCAGGCTGAGTCGACCTAGGGGAGTCCCTCACTGGGTCCTCATTTCAGGCTGAGTCGACCTAGGGGAGTCCCTCACTGGGTCCTCATTTCAGGCTGAGTCGACCTAGGGGAGTCCTCACATCATAGTTCATTGACGCAGGGAAGGCCTCAATTGAGATCCCTCCACTGGACACAAAGCCAGGGATCGAACCCAGGTCACCAACCACTGCAGTTCCACTACAACCTCCCCCCCCCCCTCACGCATTGATGTCTCGGCAGGGAGTGGGAGCAAGCAAGCAAGCGACACCCTCCGGCTCCGATTGTCAATCCGCTGCCTCGCTCTCGATGAATTCTTTAACATCATCCCTCACATCACACGCCCTGGCCCACGCACGCTCGCTCACGCTGCACACGGCAAGGCCAAGTGTCGAAGTGAAAACAAGCTTTTTCGATTTAAAGCTTTCGTGACTGCAGGGATTAATCTTCTTGGTTCTTTCGGTAAAGTCACGTAGAAATAAAATAATACAAATAAAACAAAATAATTCTCACGACGTTTCGGCCACAACGCAAGCAGCCGTCATCAGGTGGAGAACAGGTCTGTCTCTGTTCTCCACCTAAAGACGGCTGCTTGCGTTGTGGCCGAAACGTCGTGAGAATAATTTTATTACGTTTAATTTTTATTATTTTATTATTTTCCTTCTACGTGACTTTACCGAAAGAACCAAGAAGATGAAAACAAGCTGGCGAGGCCAGCCACTTCAGGGAGCCTCTGATATCACTTCACAAATATTGATACGCAGTTCATTCTGGAATATCCGTGAACTTCGTGCGCAACGCACTTAGCCAAGCGTACGAATCGGAGGTGCGGTGGTGGGAAGGAGAACAAACGAAACACAAAGAGCAGTTCTAAAGAAATGAGCTTTCAATTCAGATGATTGAAAAATCGCATAGGTTTTGGTGGGAGGAAGAGCGTTCCAGACGGCCGCGGGAGCGCATCTGAAAGCGGCGGGCGATGCGCCGTGACCACCGCCTTTGATCGACGGCTTCGCCAAAAAGCCGCCGCCGCCGCTACGAGGATGACCACCGGAGTTTGCGTGAGGAGCGGAGTTCGCGTGATCTAGGTTTGCGGATTAAATCGCGGTACGAAAAGCGTACAAAAAAAACTCAACATTTCTAACCATCGGCCTCAATCGTCGAGGCGCCAGCGACCGCAAACGCCTCCGGCGAGTCAACCGACCGAACACTTTATTTATTTATTAAATAAATTCATTTGATTTTTTGTTTCATGGCTGCACACAACAACAACAAAGGCCTTGGTCGCTGCAGAGCGTTGGGCGACGAAAACAACAACAACAACTTAATTCTAGATTTGAAGCTTTGGTGACTGCAAGGATCCATATTCTTAGGTTTTTTTTTCTTTCGGTAAAGTCACGTAGGTAAAAAATTTAAATTAAAATTTATAAAAGTAAAATAAAATACAGCAAGCATGCTGTGACGGTTCCACCTGAAGACGGAAGCTTGTGTTGCCTCCGAAACGTCGTGATTTTTATTTTATTTTTATTTTATTTTACTTTTATTAATTTTAATTTTAATTTTTTACCTACGTGACTTTACTGAAAAAAAAAACCTAAGAATAACAACAATAACAACAACCGCACGCGACTATCATTCGCCAGGCCGCATGTACCCGGCGCGTCCTGGTTGATGTGCGAGGGAGGAGGAGGCGGGGGGTGAGACAAGACGACCCGGGGAACCGATTCTACTGCTTTTTGAAACGCAACAGCCACGTTTGGCTTGGGGGCCTGAGAGAAAAAAATTAACCCGTAAAAACAAAGTTTTTCACTATAAATCCTTTATATGCGTGGCGGCTAGAGTCCTCTCGTCCTCTGGCTTGAGATGGCTGCCACCTATGGGTCAGATGATTGCCTGCCACCATTAAGCAATTGGTAATTAAATATAATTTTTTTTTTCCTAAAAAGTGATGGAAAAAAATTTCACGAAAATAAATTGTCACGCACAACGAGTCTGTGTGCAAAATGTCAGCTCGATTGGATCACGGGAAGTGGGTTAAAAAACGACCGAAAGATTTGCACGGTCGTAAGCGCGCAAGCAAGCAAGTGAACTTAATATAACGGATTTAAAAAGTGAGGGAGTGTGGGTGGAGAGCATTGGGGTAATGAGGTGGTCCGGTGGTGGGTGGGGCAAGCGGAGGGGGCCCAAAAGCACACTCGGTAGGCCGTCGCCGCCAGACATCAATTCACCTCGCCGTCAACAAGGCCTCGTCAGCTGGTTTAGAGGCACAGTCGACGCTCGACTTCCAACTCGTCGATTGTACGGCGCCCCCTCCGCACCACCCCCCCCCCCCCCGCTAACCGCCCGCCGCCATCTGCCGAACGCTGCTGGATAAAAACGCTGGGACTGGAAAGGCTCCATCCGTTAGGCCGCTGGGCCTAGATCCGACAATTTACGTTCCGTCGGCGAGACAAACCCTTGGGCCTGATAACCCGTCAAACGGGCGTAGAGCGAGCGAGAGAGCGTCGCGCGTTTAGCTGGGAGGCCGTACAGTCAGCGAGACAGTGAGCGGGACAGCGAGCGGACGAGCGAGACAGAGCGAGCGCGGACGAGGGAGAGAGCGAGCGAGACGGAGAGAGAGAGTGAGCGAGCGGATGAGGGAGACCGTGTGAGAGCGAGTGAGAGAGCGAGTGAGAGAGCGAGCGAGACAGAGCGAGCGTGGACGAGTGAGACGGAGAGAGAACGAGCGAGACGGAGAGAGAGCGAGCGGACGAGGGCGACAGCGAGAGAGCGAGCGAGCGAGACAGAGAGAGAGCGAGTGAGCGAGACAGAGAGAGAGCGAGCGGACGAGCAAGACAGCGAGAGAGCGAGCGAGTGAGCCAGAGAGAGAGAGCGAGCGAGACGGAGAGAGAGCGTGCGGACGAGACGGAGAGAGAGCGAGCGGACGAGCGAGACAGCGTGCCGACGAGGGAGACAGATAAAGAGTGAGCGAGCAAGACGGAGAGAGAGCGAGCGAGGGGACGAGCGTGCGTTCACCTGGAAGGCCGTCTGGCTGTTGAAGTTCTTGATCTCCTTGCTTGCGCCGCGATACAGCAGCACCCGAGCACAGCTCTCCTGCGCGAGCACGGACACGCGGCGAGTGAGCCGTGGCCGTTTGTTGCTTCTGCTTTTAGAACCACCGTGGATTTAGAGCATTTGACTGCTACGACAAATTTCCACGTCATAAGCCACTTCGCTGGCCTATCATTTGTAACAAGGTTGCTTCTGAAAAAGAGACGAATAGTTCAGGAGGCCTAACAATGGGTCAGCTATAGCTGACCTCATGGCGGCCACGAGATTCGTCGTCATCATCATCATCGACTGCGAAATTATTGCCGTCTTAATCAACATCGTAATTTTCACGTTTAGCAAATTCATCGTCGTCGTCATCAGCAGGCCTTGTGTGCTCAGTTGGTCTAACCTGGTAAACAAAATTAAAATAAAAAAGTTGTCTACAGTAAAACCTTGGATTGCGAGTAACTTTGTCTGCGAGTGTTTTGCAAGACGAGCAAAAATTGTAAATAAATATTAATTTGATAAACGAGCGAGCTCTTGCAATACGAGTAGTACGTGCATACGCTTTGTCTGCCGAGCGTCACGTGATCACAACTGATATACGAGTGCTTTGGATTACAAACACGTTTCCGGAACGAATTATGCTCGCAATCCGATGCTTTACTGTAGTTTCACCTGGTTGTAGAGGGCACAGATGTGCAATGCCGTGTTGCCAGACGCATTCTGGGCGCTCATGTCGGCCCCGTAGAACAAGAGGTGTTCCAGGTGTTGCACGAGCCCGTGTCTGCAGGCCTGCCGGAGACAACAGACACCTTTGAGCAGAGGTCGCAATCGGGTACCCGATACCCGTACCCTACCCGATACCCGGCTACGCGTACCCAGCCGGGTACGGGTACCCGTTTGCGACCCTGGTGCAGCCGGGTACGGGTACGGGTAGACCGTGAGTCACTGGTGAGTAGCCGTTTGTCACTCATTTCCCAACGTCTTGTCTCGTCTCACAATTCAAGTTCCTAGAATCAACCCACCCACACCTGCAACATGGC